CAGATGGCCCGAAGAGGAAGATCGGCCAAGCCAAGGGTTTCGAGCCAGTCGAGACCAAGCATGTTGAGCTTCGCCTTTGTGATGTAGCAGATAACGGCTTGTAACGCTGGCCAATCGAACGGAGTTGCGCTGACCTGATGACGCTAGTTTAGCCGGTGAGACGGAAATTGAGCGAGCGTGTGAACGATCCTAGCCGCACGTGTTCGGATCGACGCTGAACCCTCGGAACGGACGCACACGAGAGGGGGTTACGATAGACGCGCGCTAATGACTTAGACGCGAAGGCTGGCCAGCTAACGACTCACACGCAATCACGTGTCCCGACTGACTCGCAAGTAAGGCGAAGAGGAAAGAAAGGCAGGCGGTCCTCTGTAGGCTCTTTTACGACCAACAAAGGGAGAATCACAGCCAATGCTATGGGTCATTATATAAGGGAAAATTTCTACCATGACGAGGTGGTAGTTTGTAAGAGGCCATTGTCAAAAGGTGCATAGTTGGGCCGCGTTTCAGTGTGGCTTAATTCTGCTACGTTGTGAGGAGGAACTGGACCCAGCTTCCCACAGCCATTCTTCTGGGGTTACTGCTGCGTTTCTGCGGGGATTTTTGACGGGCCCCCAACAATAACCGACTGTGTGCAGTCCGGCGTAGTGAGGGCAATCGCAACTTGTTTGTGGTCACAGTGTACGCTCCAACTGACAGCAGTTGTGACTCGGTCAATGCGATTTCCATCGTGAAATTCACGGCTCCTAAGCAGAGCTTTAAAATCCGATTCTGTTGTCTTTGCTGCGGATCTCAGCGTACGGATAGGTCGTCAATTATCATGCGAAAGTCACCTCAGTGATCACCATGCGCCCAATGAGAGCCACTCAGACTTCTCACACTGTGTGAAGATAATCGTCTATTTCTCTCGAGTACCAGCTTCAGACACTCTAGGAGACGTTCCGCTAATTGGCGCTCCCTCCTGAGACTCGACCATGGTCTCAAATTGATCATATCACAATCGGTTTCAAATGACGGGGTAATGTAAGGGACTGCAGAACAATCTGGTATACATATTTTACTCAGAGCATTCTCTTGTTTGTACATGAGTTTTGGAGGGTCCCAGAAAAATAAGCACGATAAGGTAGATACAAATAGATTGTCAATTCTCTGGGTTTAGCAGAGCCATCAATCTTCCTTGACCCATGCAATCATTTGCAGCCCACCGCAAGACACTTAGAACATTGGACGTTCATGCAGAGGAGAGCTAATTTGTTATCTTACTCGGCCCCCTTGGGATCTCCACACGCTCTCTGGAACAAGTTGACCGCCGCAGAAATACCCGGGGTCTCATCAGAATGAACTGCGCCTTCCTGTCAGTCGACACCTCAAACAGAACCTACGCAGTAATCGCGAAGCCTGATGATCTCAGCGTGCTTCGGAAATAGAGGCATCTACCCTCTTTGGCATTAATCAAAAACTGTTCCACCTCATTCGATCCACTGAGCACTGGAAACCTGGTGGCAGTGAGACTATTTGCGAAAGGTATGGTTCGCCGATTGCTAACCTAGATAGATACTTGGATTGATGAACCGAATATTTTGATTCCCGGTTCCAATGGCTCTCACTGTCCACTAGTATGCCCTGCGAACCCAACCGCCCGCCCTGGGTCGTCACACTTGATCCATCCAGCGGAATCGCAAGTTCGTTTTGCGATTCGACACTTAAAAACGATTTAAGGCCATCGAAACAGAAGGACTTCCCCCGGAAATGTCCAATTATGGTGGCGCAGTTATCATCAGCTAGCTTAACTCAGTGTTCGCCATAATCTGGCATGAAGATAAGGTGCCTCATTCCTGGGGCGAAGCAGCTCTACCGATTTTTAAGAAGGGTACACGCACATCATGCCTCAATCAACTGGACAGTGATCACATTTCGGTTACATCCAAGCTATTAACATCCATGCCGTTTTATAGACTATACCCGATACGAGAATCGCAGTACCGGGGAGAATAAGCTAGCTTCCGTCCTGGTCGTGGGTGTGTGGATCAAATATTCACGCTCTGCCAAATCCTCGAACACCGCCATCTCTACCAGAGGCCTACCGTCGTTGAATTCTTAGACATCCGAGCAGCATTCGACTCGGCTGATCGACATATGCTACAGCGTTGGTTGATCAGGAACGGGATCCCAGAAAAGTACGCTGTCATCTTACGCGCACTCCACTTTCAAGTCTCCGGCAGGGTGAAGGTATACGGCAAGCTTTCTTCGTCCTTCGCTGTTAATAGCAGTGTACGATAGGGCTTCCCTAAGTCTCGGATTCCTTTCAATTTTGCATTTGAAAACGCCCTGTCGAGAGCTCTGGAAGTTTACTAACATTCTGATTTGCAGCTACTATCGCCCAAATGAGTGAACAACTTAGATAGTGCTGACTCGCAGAGCATGCAAACCATTCTAAATTGTCTGGCGATTGAGGCATCTAAGTACGGAATGTGCTTCCCGCCGTCGAAGTGTAAAGTGCTGCTCCAGGATTTGCACTCGCCGTATCCTGTGCTCACATTTGAAGGTACACAGTCTGAACAAGTAGATAGCTTGGTTTACCTGGACAGCTGCTTGTGATACCACTGGAAAGGGAATTTATCTCCGCAAGGCATTTGACAATCAGCAACACTTGTTGCGTCCTCGGGATGTCTCCCTCTTAGTAAACGGTTGTGTTTACAATGTCACTGTGTTCGGGCGGTGTTACCATATGGAAGCGAATCGTGGCCAATTCGCGTGAATGGCATGTGCTGGTTATGGGCATTCGACAATGGATGATTGAAGGGGATTGTGTGTGGTGGCAACAAGGTAAATGCAACGACGAAGTCAGACACCGTGTTTCAGGGAGTCAGTATTTCCTACAACAAGCTGGTTTCGCTGCATCAGTTAAGACAGATTGGTTACGTCTTGCGTAGCTCAACTGAGCGTTTGATTCAAATGCGCCCTTTGCGCTCGTGCAGGACTTGGATGGAAAAGACCACGCGGTGGTCAACTGTCCACCTGATTACAGTATATGAAATCATTGACTTCATATTTTGCTGCCGTCGGATCCCCACACCTGCCTGGTAGGGGACCTAAGGATGAAGAGTGCCGATGGATGGAAACACTTCAGAATATAGCGCGCAGTCGAAACCATTGGGATAGCTGTGTAAATATTTTACAATCATATAGTTAATGCATACCAATAGAAAAAGACAAAAAATGGCGCGTGCAAAATAACGAAAAATGTTCCGTAGCTTTTTGCGGCACAAGAGATATTGTGTTGCTCACCTTCAGCTAATTTCATCATGACGATGCGGCGAATCAAACTCTCTTCTTCCGCTGATTTCGTTTACTTCTGCCTATCCGTTAGTTGCTAACACATGCCTACATGGTTTAGAGAACAACCACGGGGTCTTATCTATGCGAATGAAACCAAGGATATTAGCAGGTGGACATGTTATTCGCATATAACTCGGAATGTTGAACGACGAGATGTGCCAAGAATAGACACAGCACCTCATGTGTAATTCGTACCTTAACTATTATTATTAAGACGACCGACCGGTTACGCAGAACTAAGGTTTCACACGCACAATATTCAACATTAGCCTCCCGGCCACCGGATGATAGTGGCACTTGGCATACTTAGATGTGTGAATGCACTCTCCTGCGTGGATTAAACAAGGCACTGGCTTGCCAGACAAGAAATTGCTCCGATTCTTCGTGATGTCAGCACACGAATTACCTTTAGGATAGAGGATAACCGCGAAACTGAGACGCACAGTTGTGAACGTCCCGGGTATGAATTAGATAGTTTCTGTCACGTGAAAACAAGGAAACGTGCACGCAGGTACGAGTTGAATGAGATATGACGGCAGATGCTTAGTGATAAAACTAGTAGTCCAATGCGCTCTAAAATCAGTGTCAATAATCAACTCTTAGTTCTACTGGTGTGTCAGTTACCGCAACTACAGTTGGAAAGCGCAAGTTGAGATTAAGGTTTGGTTGTTCTTCGGGCAACAACGTCAAGAGTAGCAGCATGACTTCATATGACAAGTAGCACTTCCTCGCGTTATTATCAAACAGATGAGATAATACCGAGCGAGCTGAGTGATGTTTCAGAGAGATACGGCCGTCTTCGAGTAAAATTGCCTCAGACGCGGTCAGACAGGAGTATGTGATATATTGCTATACGCGAATTCTTAATGTACATGAAGATTCCAACCATGGAACTCAGAGAGGTAAAACGAACCACAGCGACACAATGGTGCGTTCAGTTCAAGCGAGTGAAACAGGTACACAGATCAAAATAGCAAACCACAGTAAGCTCCTAGTGAATGTGAAGGCCGGTAGCCGAGGGACTCCGCGTCTAGCTGATAATCCGATTCGAGACTGCGTAAGTGCCGGTAACCTAGTAGCTTCTATACTCTGCAAGCAAGTGGCGGTGTTCTCGCGGCAGTGCTGCATCGAGATGTGGTACCAATGTAATGCTGATCCCTTTCGCACAGAGCAGTTGCAATCAGAGAAAGCGAGTCTTGGCAGTGATCCGAGCCAAGAAAGAAAAAAATGGAGCAATTGAAAGTTGTTGGATAATAAGTAGCAAGCACCGTACAGTGTATAATGCATGGGAGACAAATAACGCAGGACGCATTGTCGAAAACGTCGACTGATATGAAGTAATGTTGAATCTTGGAGCATAAGGATATCTGGTAAGGAAAATGTGCGATCTGCTTCCCAATGGGACATTTGGTGAGGTAGCACCAATACGTGGTTCCGCCTGCGCAGCAGAGATGGAAGCAGAGCATGGTTGGATTCAATACACAAGAGAGACAATTGGAGGAGTAGCGATGAGACCTGATACCATGTGGCAAAGGACGTGTGCAGCTTTTGAATTGTGAGGGAGTGATGCCTATGAAATGGAATGGAGAGCAATGTGCAGAATAGGGCTGAGAAAATGAGGTCAGATGGGAGATAAAATGGAGAGGGATAGGGAACACAGTTCATCTGTTTTGGTTTGGAGCCAAACGGCGCCAACTGGTGCCGCGGCGACGTGAACCACTGGAAGATTTGCTGTCCGAACGGGACAAAGGAGGGCTTGGTTCAGGCTCGTTTGGCGGCACATCTGGACGGGGAACAGGTGCGGGCGGATTGCAACGTTGCTCGTCCAATCGAGTGGACTGAACGCGTTGGATAAGAGCGAAGAAATCCTCATCAGGTACCGTGGCAGCCGTAGGACGAGAAAATGAGCCTGAGGCAGGCCTGTCCGGGACAGAACAACATTCATCCGTCGTGGTGACACCGATGGTTAGTGAATAGCGCTGTGTCGCAGAATCCCGATACAACGGGTCCGGCAAGTTGCTGCGCTGGTCATTTATACGGGTTGATGTCTAGAGTAGTGTGAAAAATAACAAAAACGGGAAACAAGTCACATCGAAGTAGAGGCAATCGCACGGAATTCACTTGATATGAGCAAACTATACCAAAAAAGAAGTACAGCAAGAAGTAAAATTCAGGGTTAAACAAGGAGAGGGTAAGAATAAGGTAAACAACAACAACAACAACAACAACAACAACAACAACAAATAACGAGACACGGGTACTCCCCTCCTAACCCGTTTGTGATTGTCAGTGTCCAACGGAGCAATGCACAGCAGTTGATACAGTCACAAAAGAGGGGCAACACATACAGCATAACGCAATTTTCGACAAACTGGTCACAACAAACAGACGCTATTGTTGCTAAACCGTTTGGGGAAGTTAATCAGGGTGGGAATGTCACAAGCTCGAATTTGCGAGGAGGGCGCCTAGCTGCGACCACCCGAATGATCAATCAGCTAATAGGACGTCCGTAAAATCAGGACATAGGTAAAGATGGACATTTTTATTCAGATAACATCTGTGAAATGGAGGTTTTCAACCAGTTTCTCTTGGGAAAACATTCGCACATCGCATTCGAGCTAAGGCTGGGCCTTTAAATTGGCCGTTGCTTTCGTCGCTGAACATCATACTTTTTACATTATCGACCGTATGTATCCGACAGATATTTTGTTCAATCAACTTCTAAGATCAACGAAACACAGCGCTACAACCATCTTTGAATATAAATGCGAGATATCTGGCGCAATCATTGGACATAAAATTTACGTAAATTGAAATGAATTCCGAAGGAAATTTTATATGAAACCTTGCCCGTTGTGAATGGATACAAATCCCGTAGATTTAGTTCAGGTTTTTGAATAGATGTTCGATCGATTTATGACGTTCCTTCATATTTTTCTACTCATTTGTTAACTAATCAATTTTAGTGGTAACACTTTGGTGAGTTTACAACCGATAATGTAAAATGCTGAAAATGCACTTCATTTGGATACAAGACGCTTATACTGGTTTGAAACAGTTAGTTCCTTACAACAATTTGAAAAACACGGAAAGAAGATGGAGGCTGGTAGATACATGCATTTCGTATTGTTTCCCCAGTACCATTAACAATAACCGACATGCATAATTATAGTTAACACTGCGTGCAACCAGACAAGCTTGAGGTGCAGAACGAATGACGGAAGTTCGCCCTAATGTCCAAGGCAGGTTTAGGCTGACAAATAATTGTTTCTGAACGCACAGGGCTGACTTCATCCGGCTTATAGAGATCGCCTCATCAAACTGAAGGAAGCAGGCATTATCGTGACGTAACACAACTTGGGACGCTGAGCCTAGCTCTATCCGGTGACCGGAGACTAACGGATGTTTGAACAGCACGGTAAGAAGACGAAAGCTGATAGATGCATGCATTTCGTATTGTCTCCACAGTACCATTAACAATTACCGATATGCAACTTTAGAAATAACGATGGGTGTGTTGAACGGAGTGTTTATAGAAGCCCAAGTTAAGAACTATTTTTATCAGTCTAAACAGCTTCAACCAACCACTACTGATAAGCTTATTTGGTTCAGGAAAAAGTTCACCGACATGAGGTTGAAACGATGCCAGTTAAGGAAAAATGTGCTATCACAGCTGGACATTTTCAAGCCTTACGTGAACTACGAGCTAAGGACGTAGTCGTAATGAAACCAGATAAAGGTTCCGGAATGGTGATCATGAACAAAACCGAATACAATGAGGAGATGTGCGCCATACCCAACGATGCGAGTAAATGCGAATGGCTCACGAAAGAGTGGGACATACCCAATGTCGAAACGCTCATAGTTCGTCTCCTGGAATTGCTTCTCCTCCATCGCGTGATAGACAGTGATACATTTAATAGTTTGAAACCGATTAGTAGCACTATTCCACAGTTGTATGGGTCCCCAAAGACACATAAGAGTGAAGTGCCGCTCATGCCAATCCTTTCAATGATAAACGTACCCCAGCACACAATGGCTCGTTGGCTAATGAAGTTGCTATCTGAGCTGAAACAACAGTACAATCCATACGGTCTCAAAGACTCATTTCAACCCATCGGCGACCTGGATGAAGTCAACCTGTCAGACAAAGTCAAGTGTTCGCTAGATGTAGAACTCTTATTTGCCAACGTCCCGCTACATCAGGCGGTTGATTTCGTGGGCGAACTACCTGCAAAAAATGTCGCCGTTCGTTACCAATTCCCACTGAAGTGTGGAAAAAATCTCCACTATTTTGCATGGAGAATGTGGACTTTCACTTTCGGAACACACCGTACGGTCAAAACGACGGCGTAGAAACGGGTAGCCCATTAGGTCCTGTTCTCGCTGATGTTAGAAAGTAGCATCTCCACGAAAATAGCCCAGGTGCCCTAATACAAAAGACATGTCGATGATATCTTGGTTTTCTGTTCGTCGGAGCAGCATCTTACATATTTGATAGAACGCTTCAACGGTGCGCATGCTAACTTACGGGTTACATGCGAAGTAGAACAGAACAAGTGTCTGCCATATCTGGACATACTCATAAGTCCCAGGGAGGATGAATTGATTAAGATGTCTATTTACCAAAAATCAATTTGGTCCGGTCAGTACCTGCACTTCACCAGCTTCACACCAGTGCGGTACAGACAGACCCTTACGAAGACTTGTCAGTCGAGCCAAACGAATTTGTTCGGCCTGACTGTTTGGACGATGAACTAGGGTTAATTACAGCAACACTAATGGCGAACGGCTACGCTCGAAGATTTATCGAGAAACACAGCCAACTTCGAGGGCCAAAGGATTTGGTGTAAAAAGCAGCCAGGAAGAAAGTGTGTATCGAGTTACCTTTCAAAGATAATTTAGTTACGCTGAAAGAAACTAAGCGCATATTTTCGATTACACAAGAAAGTTACTGTGCTACACAAGTTGTCGTCATCAACCGAACCCGAAATTTGCTCATACCTTCAACGAAGGAAGCACAGCCTTTTCGGGCCAACTAACACTGTGTATACCAATTTGTATGTGAATGCTGAAAACCGTTACATAGGCATAACCAATAGGATCTGGCTTCCCGAATAAAGGAGCAGGTGCTGAGATGGGTTTAGCATGAAGTTGCCCAGATTTCTTACCCCAGTCGAATTCCACTTTCGCGTAGACCACCGGCATCCTCGATAGACAAACACCTATTAGTATCGGGGTCACAGGACAGAGCTAGGCTGAGCGTTCCAGGTTGTGTTCCGTCACGCTAATCCCCGCTTCCTTCAGTTTGATGAGGCGATCTCTATAAGCCAGATGAAGTCAGCCCTGTGCGTTCAAAAACAATTATTTGTCAGCCTAAACCTGCCTTGGACGTAGGGGCGAACTTTCGTCATTCGTTTTGCACCTCAAGGTTGTCTGATTGCACCCAGTGTTAGCCATAACTATGAATGTCGGTTATTGCTAATGATACTGGGAAGACAATACCCGTCTTCGTCTTCTTCCTCTACTAAGTTGGTTTGATTTGATACCTGAGTCATCCTCTGTTAAGTGATGCAGGATTTGTAACTTGCATGGATGAAATTTCCGCTGTTTCAAAAGCTGACCGACGGTTGATTTTGAAATACCTAAAGCCATATATGTCCTGCGAGTTGATTTTTTGGGAATAGCGTGCATTTTAGACATAACAATGTCTTTCGTCCTGAATCAACTGTTTCCCGACGAAATGTTCAGTAAAAGCATTAACCTCAAAGCACCGCATGATTTAATTCCCCTCAAATATCTCTGCATATTGCCAAGTGCGTACTACAAAGTACGTGCAAATGTACAGCATCAGGAAGACAATACAGTTGACATGGCAAATTCATCAATATACGTACACACACACACACACACACCACACACACGTTCTTGTCAATACACCATGTATACTGGGTGGACATAATGAGAAGTCAGTGATGAACACATCCTTCAGCATACACAGACTAGGGTTAAGTTTGAATGACACGATGAGAAGACGAACGCTGGTAGATGCGTGTTGTTTCATCAGTAACAATACAGTATCAAGAAATTATCTTACACCGTTCAAATGGCGTTACCAACCAGTCAGATGCAGGGAAGTGAACGGCGGCAAGGGTCCCAGGACCAGGGCAACCGAAGGTCAACAACTTATTGCTTCTACACACACACAGCGCAGGTCTTAGCTGGCATATAGCCACTACCTCGGCAAACTGTAAGAAGCGTGGATTGGGATGACGTAATAGTATCCTAAACGCGGAGCCGGGGTCAATCTGACAACGGGTCAACAACACATGTCTGCCTATTGATGGTGGTAACGGTTTGGGTGTACACGGAAAATTGGGAGACGGATGATTGACCTCATGCTGAATCTCGTCGGCTAGGTGTTCCTTCAATGGAATTCAAACGCCACTCAGTCCTGCCTATGTAACTGATGGTGCAGTTGCACTCAAATTGGTAAATACAGTGTTATTTGGCGCTAGTGGGTTCCTCTTCATTTGATGAAAGCAGCGATAGTTCCTGGGTTCTGTTGATCAGACGTCCTGTGACTCTCCTATGGAAGTCGCAGTGTCAGGACAATCCTGAATCGGATGCCGCCAATCAGATCACAATGGAAATACGCGTGGGGTCAACACAATGTCTGTGTGGTAACGCTGCTTTCCTTCTACTCTCTGCCACGCCAACCCAGCCGGGGAAAAAACAGAACACCGGAACCTGCTAGACCGAAGTATATTAGACACAGATCATGGTTCTTTTATGGGGCACAATCCAGCATCTCCTGTAGCAACCTGTTTAATGCTGACGGTCTGAGTTCCTCAGCTTCCGGCGTGACTCAGCCCTGATACCGCCGGTCGGGTAGCAACCCGTGCCCCGATGATAGGCATCTCGAAATCGTGTCACGTTCTTATGCTGCAGTCTCCGATTACCTCCCTTTTCGAATTGAATCTGCTTGCGTACTGTTCGAACTCGATTTTGTTCATAGATTTTCGCCTTGTGGTCGTCTCCACTTTTG